TGGTGCTCCCTGTCCTTCTTCCTTCGGTCCTGAAACAGTTTTATCCTACATCATTTCAGTGGGTTTAAGCAACAAAAACAATTTCCGGGTCTCCTTTCGATTGTTGGTTAAAAGTCAAGACGAGAAGTTTCTCGGGAAGATAAACGAAAACCCGAGCAAGAACACACTTCAGAGGTGAGTTCCTATGGCCCAGGCCAATTTATGATTTTTCAACCTTGGGGGAGAGTACATGTTCATATGTCGAGTTTCACAGTGATGTACAAGCTTTCACGTTCTAAAATGCATCCTATTTGTTTTGTGGTTAAAAGTTTGAGAAATGGTAAATTTAGTTATAAAAATCATTATCAGTACATATAAGATGATGAGTATATTTGCTTGAAAAACATATCGCAGTGGCATATTATGAAGTGTGAGTCTAAATGTTAAGACAAAACTCTTGATCAATATTACATTATCCTAATGATATAAGAAATAAGACCTTTAATGTGTGAAATTTTGAATATGTGGGTAATATGTATAACAACAGGATTGATAGTTTAAGCATGGTATTAAACATGTCCTTGTATAAAAAGAAAACGTAGTGTATTATCTAAAAGGTCAAGAAAAATCAAAATATGTATATATAAAGGTTATTAGTCGCTATAATATTCAACAAAAAAAAACTAAATTGTAATATATCGATATGTAAAATAAGCTCAAGAATGATATACATTATATTTTTATAATTTCTATGAAAACATAAGTCATCCTATAAGGTCATGAAATTCGTTACATACGATAGATTATTAAATTTCAGATTTTTGGAAATCGTTTTATCATAAAAGTGTAAATCTTATATTGTGCCTCATTGAGCACATGACATTGTTGTTAGCACTTTCGACGATCTATCCAAATATTATTATAACGTATAATATAAATTTGAGATGCGATAAGTATGATAAATTGTAGAAATTAATAATATTTCCGATCGATATCGTTTTTCTGAACGATAAATACTTTTAATACCTTTGTAAGTTGTGAATTGGAAACATAAACTATAGAACTAGTATGCCTATGTCTAATGTGAGGACCCAACGTATTTGGGTTCTCCTTTATGAAATATTTTCGATTTCATGAAAACTACGACTTCAATAGTTAGTTGAAACCCTATACTATATAATTGTTAATCCACAAGGACCGACTAAGGAAAGGTATAAGTTTCATATTATTGGAATTATACGATTCGACCGTCCGTCTGGAGTTGCTAGCTACAATTTACGTCTGTCAAGTCAAAATGATTGAAAAGGATCAGTATCTTATCATCCCACGACGTCGAGGAAGCGTCAGTAATGTTCTCAGCATCTAGTGCTACCTAATGTTCTCAGCACGGTTCAGTGTTATCCGTTGTTTTCAACATGGTTTAGTGTTACCCGTTGTTCTTAACACGGTCCAGTGCTATCTGTCGTTCTCAGCACGGTTCAATGCTACCCGCTGTTCTCAGCATGGTTCAGTGCCACTCATTGTTCTCAGCATGGCTCAGTGCTACCCGATGTTCTCAGCACGGTCCAATGCTACCCGATGTACTTAGCATGGTTCAGTGCGACCCCAATAATTTTTGAGTCCATAGTTCGGTTATAGGCTCGTTATAGACCCCTAAGTTCGTTCAAATGCACGCATTTACTTGGGACGATAATTATATGTGGAGCCAGTTCACCCATACGGGTTAAAATAGGATCGTATATAGTAGAAATGTTTCGCTTACACAGTTAAGTGTCCACTAATTAGTTAACTAAATTAATACTTAATAAAAATTACGACACAATCTTCTCATTTTTTTAAACACTTATTAAATAAGTTATTTACATAAATAATACTTTTACTTGTATGGGATTTCAAGCACTTATTGGTTTTGATTTATACTTTTGGGTTGGAAAAAGTAATATTTCTATATAAGTTCAAGACACTTATATAACTCATTTTATATAAAAAAAAACTTTTAGTTATAAAAGTACACTGAGTAAAAACTTATAGAACTCACCAACAATTTTTGTTGACGTATCTTAAAACATGTATTCTCAGGTAATTATGGCGCATGAGTTCCATCACGGATACTATGGATCACACATTTAGTACTTTTGATATAGAATATGTTTTGTCACAACTATTTTTCATCATTGAGGATATGCAACGATTATTATAATGATGTAAGACGTGTTTATTCAATATGTAATGTATTATTGTGTATATATTGTTCAATGTATGCTATGACTATGATATTCGCTTGAAGTTGCTACCCCAACGGTTCCGCCGTCGGTTGGGGTGTGACAATAAGTACGTTTCTATTATGCGTAAAAAATGTAGGTTGCTACAAAGTTGTATAAGCAAAATATAATCATGTTGCTATTATGGGTTAAATATTGCTATTATCAATTAAAAATTAAATATGTTGCTATTATGGGTAAAAAAATTAAAATAGCGTGGACTCTATTGGTATCAAAAGTAAGGTATTTAAATTCCAAGGAAGAATGTGAAGTCACCAATTGTACTCCCCTAAAGCAAACGTTGCGTTATTTGAAAATAAATTATAATAATTCCATTTACATAAACTTGTATATTAATAATACCACCTTTATACTTTTTCCTAATGTGACATTATCAGTTGCACCACATGTGAAGTCACTTTTTGCTAATCAAAAGAAAATGCATTTCATACCTTAAGCTATTGTTTTAGTACATGCAACTTTGTTTATCATGTAAACAAAGTCTGGATATTTGTGATCTTTAAAACATGATAGTGTTTTACATAAGCTTCTTATTTGAGTGTTGCATTTATAAAGGCACTTCTAGAGGACCTTAAAATCCATGTAGACAACATAGGAAGGTATTGGTGATGTGGAGAGTGCAGAGAACGCGTTTGATGAATTACAAAAGGGAAGTATATCATGTATATATACTTTTGTTTATAACGTGTTGATTAAGTGTTACGTTAAGGCTAAAGTTTGTGATTCGAATATTTTGAAACGATGATTCTTGGTGGGTCATGAAGGCCGGATTCTGAGACGTTAATAGTTTTTTCAAGGTTCTTGAAAAGTTTCAAAGATAGTTTTCTGTTGTATTTTTTTGTTTTATATAATGTTTAAACTAGGTTAAAACCCGTGGAACCCACGGGTGTTAATTTTAAATAGAATTAAAAGAATTGATTGCGTAATAAAATAATATATTATTAATTTAAAAACTTAAGAATTATAATGTTGTATTTTTTTTTCCATTAGTGGCATATTTATAATTTATTGTTAGTTTTCAAATTCTTATTCCTATTGCATTTTGTTATGTATTTTAATTTTTAATCATTGGATATTTTAGTATTTTCTAGTATTATTATCTCTATGTTAATATTATGTATAGTATATACGCTAATAAGTTTGAATATATTTATTTGTGCTGGTAAAAGAATGAATACAAGAAATCTTAAATATGATCCCTTATTTCTATTATCAATAAATTTTGTGCATAATAATATAATGAAAAAAAGTAGGATGCTATAGAACACAAATCAACTAAAATACATTGCTATTTCTTGCCTTTAACCTTAAACTAAAACCCAGAAAGCAGGAAAGTTTATTTCAAATATCTTAATATATACTAAAACTAATCGAGATCCCTTGATACTCTATATTGGTAAACCTCCAACCGACCTTAAAGTCTTTGAAAAGACTAATAGATATCTAGTGGTTGAGAATTGAGATGGTGGAAACCTGCAATAGAAAACTTCACAACCCTATTTAAATTGTACATACATGATGCTAACGACTCCTTAAGATTCATATTCAATTGATATACATCAAAGTAACACAAAAGATCTAAAGTCAAAAGATGATTATTCTTTGGAGTAATATGTCGAACAGTTGGTGTTATCTTGATTTCCTTTAAAAGAAGAACTTTAAATTTTACTTGTACCTTTTTTCCGATTCTTGAAAAAATAATAATAACACCATATACAATTCAAAAAAAAATTTCTATATAAATAAACTTAATCTTCTTTACCATGAGGCCCGAATTGAATCTCCAAAAAATCTTCTTAGTCAAATTCCAAAAGTACCAAATAACTTTATGAGCAAATTCATTGTATAACCCAGTCACTTTTCTATATAATGATCTGTTAAAAGAGTAGATCTTATGCAACATGACATCTCCTCAGTCCCTCCTGCATAATGTTATATACAACAATAATTTTTGTTTATTTTTTAATAACTTAATATATAAGCACAAGTTTTAGGAACAGAGGGGTATTTCTGGAAGAAAAAACAAACAGAGTTACAGACTCATATCTTTTGTAATCAGTGGATAGAAGACGAAAATCACCCAAAACCCTTATTTGAGATTCAATGGAACTAAAAGCTCAGCATATAAAATGTTAAAGAAATCACAACACCTCTTGGAAGTATCCTCATTTGATTAAGATTCAAGCTTACTTTCCTTATGCCCAAAAAAAATCAAATTTCAATCTCTAAAATCCTGCAGTAAGAAAATTACAAACATGAGTCAAAGTATTTTTGTAGCAATGACAATCAAAATGTGTTTCAAATATGGAAATTTTACACTTCAGCCTAGTGTATATTAATTGGAAAGGAAACCTAACTTAATTAAACAAAAACACACAATTTGAAATGTTGATCAATGCAAACTAATACATACAACAAGAATTTAGTATCTCAACTATAAGTGATAGGGATTTAGAACACACAACAAAATATATACATGTGTTTAATAGAATAGAACATACCTGGATTAAGAACTGATATTGGTTTGCTATTTCCCAGTACACTTGGAGTCTAACAACATTTAGGAAGCAGAAGTAAAGAAGGAAATGATGATGGGAAGAGAAATGATGACAATGAAGATAGGAGGTGTTCGATCAGGAAAATTAGTGCATATCTGAGCGTGGTTTACTGGAACATCTTGCAAGAAAGAAACATCAAGCCAAAGTGGCATATTTGACAACCGAAAACTCTGTCAAATCCATGGAGTCTGCTGAGAACTCATCTGAATGTGTTCCAAATGATTCAAAAAAAGATAAGAAACCACCACCACTGTCATTACTAGCTATTGCAGGTTCAAGTGAGCTTTTAAAGAAGAAAATGGAGTGGATATATCTATATAAGACGGTTCTACATTTTCTAATGTTGTTGACTAACAGCATCAACAAATGATTGATGATATTTTATGTTGTCATTCGTATTCTATTTTAAAAGGGGGTTTATTTTCTCAGGCTGTTCAATAACAACATCAAAAAATAAGTCTATTTTATGAAGCTATATTTTGTAAGGCGGTTTTGGACAGCATCAAAAAATAAGTCTATTTTATGAAGCTATTTTTATGAGGCGGTTTTGGACATTTTCTAAGGCGGTTGTAGAACCGCCTCAAAAAACAACACTAGTTTATGATGCTATATTTTTTGAAGCGGTTGAATAACCGCACCAAGAAATAAAAAAAAACCGCTTTATTAAACCTCTTCTGTACTAGTGTAACTATCTTTTTTATTTTTTACTTGATCAAGATTGGACTCATTTACTCTCCTATAAGTAAGGTACCTTATAAAGTTATAATAATGAATGACAATGGTGGGTACTTTTCAGTGTGGCCAACGATATAAATAAAATTCTAAGTGGGATTGCATCCATGTCAAGCACGCTTGAAGATCTGAGCACTCGTGTACAACATATGGAGGAAGAGTTGCAAAAAATTGAAAAAAATCAACATATGTTTTCTTTGGAGGAGGAGTCCCAAGGGAAATCTTTGGTCCCACCCCACCCCCTTTCCCTGAGAATATTGAAGATCTTGATGTCTTTTGCGAGTGGGTGGTGAATGTAGAAAAGTTTTTTCAGGAGAATATGATCTCAGAGTATGAACAAGTAAGACTTATAGTCGACACATTGCCATCGGAAGAAGGGGGGTTCTCTCATGGTGGAAACAAATCGATGACCTAGACTATCGACTCGATAAATATTATCTGATAAAGTGGAAAGAGATGAAGAAGATGTTAATGGTCCGGTACTTTTCTCCAGATTGTTTGGAAACCAACAAGGACCAATCAGCTCCTCCTCTTAAGAATATAGACTAACCATTACACTTTTGATTTGGTTACAACTAGTATAACGTTCAAAACTACTCAACATTGTAAGAAGGTGTTTGGTTCAAACTTTCTTTTTTTGACGGATTTGGAATTTACCCAAGGAAATGGAATTGCATGTATTTGGAATTTAAGGAGATTATAATCCTTTCGGTTGTTTGGTTGAAAATATTTGGATTGGAATTCAATTGAGTAGATCTTTATATATTTGATAGTTACAAACATATCGTTCTATCTTCTTATTCACATTCATGAACATCAGCAATTTCCTCTTTCAGCCCAAAGGAAACACATTCAGCAGATAACAAACCTCCGTAACTTCAGCAATGGCTAAACTTGGAGGATGTCGATAAAGGATATTTCCAACTTTGTATGGGAGATTCATGTTAAATTAATGAAGGGGAGCAGATTCCTTTGATGTGGAAGAGTGCAAAGGAGAAGGGATCAATGGATTCATGAAGGAGGGAAAGACAACAAATGAAGGGACTAGTTGAAGATGTTTGTAATTTACCAATTAATTCTAGGGATTATGCCCATAATAGACAATTTTTGAGGGTGTTTTCCAAAATTTAGACATAAAAAAGCCTCTTCTGCGAAGCTACCTCCGAGGGTTCCGTGGAATTAAATTAAGCTCCCGTAAATCATTGTGGCAAAAAAAAAAAAAAAAACATGAAGAACAGTTCTGTGGAGCTCCCTCATGGGAATGAACTTATGCTCCAAGAAATCGATCTGTCAATTTTACGTATATGCCCCTCTTTGATTTACCATATTGTCATTCAGCGGAGCAAAAGTTCATTCCTCGAAGGGAGCTCCACATACTGCATGTCTATATGTAGAAAGAGACTTTTTTATGTCTAAATTTTGGAAAACACCCCCAAAATTTGTCTATTATGGGCACAATCCCTTAATTCTAATAGAGAATACAAATCTATATTATAATAATACAACAAAATAAAAATGAATACCATATCAACATCTTTAAAAATGCCACATTTTTTAATAGAATCTGTTGATTCTCACATGCTTAAACAACATGATAGTCTTGAATACATTGGATTTTGTGTTATCTGTCCCTAATTTAAACCCTTTTAACAATATGTTACACGTTGATATCTCATATGCCACAAAAACCTAAGTTCCTATTTTGCATGGATGACCAATGAACATCTCTTATAAACAGTCAAAGGCATAAGTGCCGGCAGGTATAAGTCTCATATGTCATAAAATTCAATTGAACATGTTACTGATTAAACTTATTCTTATAATATATATTTTATAGAATATAACGTCTTAATAAGATATAACTTAAAATTACTATATTTTGAGAAAAAAGTAAAATAATAGTATTTCGAAGATGCATTGGTATTTTTACTTCCGGCTACATATTATTCATATGATTATAAAACTTTTACAATTTTTTGAGGAACACATCTTTACGAATTAAATTGACATAAATAAACTTGAGAACTTTAAGACTTTGCTAAAGCCGAGTAAGAGTTGACGGAATTCAAGAACATAAATTGGTGTGTAGACTTCAAATTACAAATTATATATTGTTTTTTTCGCTTACACTGACAAAATATAAGGCATGCACATCCTCTCTTGTAAATTCTCTTCAGTAATACGTACAAAAATATACGCAATTTCATTATCCTCTTATAAATTCTGAAAAATAGTTTTTAATGATAATATAAACACCAAATTGTTGACCAATTAAAACTTTAAAATTTTGAAGTGCAAGTGTGGGTGGAGATTTAGTTTATTTTGGATAAACTGTACGGCTTACTATTTATTTTCAAATATACCTTTTATTTTTTCTAGCTGATCCACGTAGATTTGACAATGGACAGGTTTGGAGCGAATCGGCCTTGATCCAAACCTTTTTAACAAATTTCAAAATCCGATCCAAACCCGCAGGGTTTTAAATAATCAGACCCATACCCTTATCCACCGAATCAACGAATATCCAAACCCGCCCCGTAACCCAAAAGTTTTTTAAATAATCAAACACATTTTAATTAATTCCTAAAATAAAATTTCTTAAATAAAAAAATGTATACTATAACTTAATACTTAAAATAACATTTTTTTAAATAAAAAAAATTGATTTAGAAAAGGACATTACATACTCGAGGAATTTCAATCGGAATTAAAAATCACTATTGCAACAACTTTGAATTGATTTATGACTGTCGGTTGTAGTGATAGCGAATAGCAATTGCCAACTTTTTTCATGTTAAAAAATGATTTATTGAATTAGAAATGGATATGACGATTTCTTGATGAATATAAATTGAATGACATTATGATTCTTGATAGAAGTCTATAAGTTTAGAAACCGACTTATTGATTCCTGTGTAAAAGCGTTTTTTTCTTTGGCATTTGCCCTTTAGACTTTTGATTGGAATTAAAATTAAACGTTAAGAAGTATAAACTATAAATGTATAATTTTAAAATTTATATGAGGCGGGTTATAAATGGAGCGGATCGGTGATGATCCATACCCGACCCATTTAATAAAAGGGTTAGCGGGTATGTATCATTAACGGATAAACGAATCAAAAACTAGGCTCCAAACCCATATAATTCTTACGGGTTTGGATCGGATCAGGGTCAAAACCCGCTCCATTTCCAGGTCTAGATGCACGACTCTATGGGTTTTATTTCCCTATAAATACCTCATAGGACATTGGTTTATTTTTCATTTCCTTAATAATAGACATAACATTTGTGATGTCCGTTTGTCTTTAAATATCATGATTGTGTCGCACAATCATTGAGATGGTTGGCAAAGACAACAAAAGAGATGAAATTTTTGATGACATGAGCAAGATCGAAACCATAACCAAAATCCTTCAAGATTTGACCCCTAGAATACAACATTTGGTGAAAGTTATTTGCTTTTGGCTAATAAGTCATACTTGGGGAAGTATAAAGTTGTGGCTAAACTATTAGGAGGTTGATTGAGACATTAATGGTGAGCCTTGTTAGGTTCATTATTACGCATCATTTAGGTATATTTTCTTAATCAGTTCTAAGATATGTTGTGTATATTTACCATGAATTTCATACATTTCATTATATCGTTAGTATGGACCAATTCTACTCGTTTGAGGTTAATTTCTGCTAATTTATGTAAACGAGTAATGATATCTTTAAGCACGAATAGAAGTCTTATGGAAAGCCTTGCAATTAGGGCCTCTTAAACAGCAACAAAAGTTGCTCTTCATAATCAGCAAAACTAGCCCATAAAGCTGATTTGTTTTGGACCATATTTCAGCCCATTTGGTCAACTTAAAGCAGCTCAAATCTGATAAATGAAATCAAGCCCATGGAAAAGAGTCACATTTTGGAGATAAAAAAGAAAAGAAAAGGAGGGATCGGTTCTTCTCTCACACAACTGACGCACGACAACAGAAACTAGAAGGGAACGACTTGAAGGTTTCTTTTGGGTGCGTTCTTATCAAAACAATCTTTGATTTTCTTTTGTAAGTTAATTTTATATTTTGTAATTTCCGGTGGTTTAACCATATGAGTTCAGTTTAAAACAATTTCCGTTTTCTTAATTCTTTTTAAACATGATTGCTGTGTGATTTCTGATTCTGATTGCTCAAGGCACCAGGGCCGTTGTTTGGTTTTCAGTTATATATGTTAGTTCTTTTCTAGGGTTTGCCATAAAGCTCTTGTGGTTTTTTCTCATATAAGTTTCTATGATCCGTAGATTCTGAATAAACAAGATCTATATATTTTTTTGCTGCACTGTGTTAACAGTGAAATTAACATTGAATATTTTCATTACCAAATTCATAAGAAAGATTTACATAGACGTTGTGGGTAAACGAGCAATAACCTGTGTCGCAACCCCTTTTTGGATGGCAAAACTAATTCTTTTAAAAACTATAGATCTTGGAGTCATAACATTACTATGCATGACCTGTTGGACTCTATTGAGTAGCTCCACAGCTTCTGGCGCAAGGAAACCGAAAGTATCAAATGCAAAGTGTATAAATGTGTGTTGATTTTCCATGCACGCTTTCACATGTTTTGCCACTTTTCTTGATGCAGCTTCCCTAATAAATTAGTTTTTTTTCGGCTTCACTGAGCTAGCCCTGATAATGGGTGGAGTTGTTAATTTCCGGATTGAGTATTGTAGAACATGCCTTTAGCAAGTTGTTTCATTTTCATTTTCATCTTAATTTGGTTTGGTTTGAAGGCGACTATAAAAGTCTAATGTTAGAGCCTGATACAGAAGAGAATCTACAATTTTGATGAGTAATTTGAACGTTACATAAATATATTGATAGAGGTATTGTTATATATATTGCAGAAATTCTGGTTAACATATGTTTGGTTAAGCTCAACATATGTATATGTATGCTTTAACTTTATTGACTCAGCTCATTTTGTACCTTTCATTTCTGTACATGTTTGTTTTTCTGGTATTATTAAATTATGTAGGAAATTCTTTGCACGCATAATCATCCCTTGGGTGTTTTTTGTGTTTGTATCGATTTCAACCCAAGCAGCATAGGTATCTCTGAATTACCAATTATAAACTAAGCCCACAAACCTTTAACATTTGATGGCATCCACAACAACTTACGTATGAGTACATACATACGTGTATGCACATGTATACATACATGCCATTAGCATATATGTAATCTGCTGCATCAAAAAAGCTTAAAGCAATTAACGATCTCATGAACACAGCAAGTCAGCACTGGGATTCAGTGAATAAATATATCACAAGGCAATTTGTTTTCGTTGTACTGTTGATTTTGGGCTTTTGTTATTGTTCTATCATTTAAGATTCTAATTCTATTGTGAAGCCTTCAAACGTCAACCAACCGCATATGGAAGTGGAAAAGGGGAATGTATCAGGTTTAAATGGTAATTACTACTTTCTGTTGCAAGAAGTTCATGCAAATATGTTTAAATAAAACTTTAGATATACAAAGAACAAGTCACTTACAATGACACAATTTATATAAAAAAATTCATGATGATTATGCATCATTTTTGGGCATTTGATCATCTGTATTTAAAATCTTTGGAATGCTTTATACTGGTCAAGTTATTGTTACGTAGAACACTATAGCTATATACATGATTATTAATTTTGTATAAATATCCATATATAGGTCAAATAGTGAAACCATATTGGTGATCAAATGGGGGAAATCTTCAAATTTGGAGAGCGTAAATCATTTTATTGAAAGATTAAGGTTTTACTAGCGGGCACTTATTTTACTTTTTACTAAAAACCCCAACTTTATTCCAAGACTAGGGTTTTATTACAACAAGAAATGATGATGCATGTATTTAAATAGTGATTTGTGCTGGGAAATTGAATTAAAAATTTTGATGCAGGGAAGGTGATACAAGAAGACATGGATCAAAGAAACAGGTTTGATATTTTGGGCACTAGAGGGAATAACTAGTTAATTTTTTTACTTGATCAAGATTGTACTCTTTTATTCTCCTATAAGTAAAGTAGCTTATAATGAATGACATCGGTTTATTTTTCAGTGTGGCCAACGATATAAATAAAATTCTGAGGGGGGTTGAGTCCATGTCAAACAAGCTCGAAGATCTGAGCAGTCGTGTACAACTTATGGAGGCAGTGTTGCAAAAATTTCAACAAAATCAACCTGGGTTTTCTTTTTCTCCAGTTGAGGAGTCCCAAGGGATACCTTGTGACCAAAACGTATGTCTACCTGATTTCCCTGAGAATTTTAAAGATCTTAAAGTCTTTCGTAAGTGGAAGAAGAGTGTAGATTCATGTTTTAAACATCGTAAAATCCCATAAGAAATACAAGGACAACTTGTAGCCGAGACATTCCCAAAGAATTTCCCATGGTGGGAGCAAATCCAAAAGCTAAGCCAGCGAATCGATAACAATAATCAGATTACGTGGAAAGAGATTAAGAAGATGTTTATCGTTCAATTTTTTTCTTCAGATTGTTTGGTATCCAACAAGGACCAGTTGTCTACTCCTCCTAAGAATATAGACTAACCATATATATTATACTTTTGATTCGGTTACAACTAGTATAGCGTTCAAAAGTACTCAACAATGTAAGGGGCGTTTGGGTCAAACATTCTTTTTAACCCATTTGGAATTTAGCAAACAAAGTGGAATTGCATGTATTTGGAATTTAAGGAAATTAAAATCCTTTTGGTTGTTTGCTTGAAAATATTTGGATTGGAATTCAGTTCAATAACTCTTTATATATCTGCGAAATTACAAACATATCATTTCATCTCTTTATTCACATTCATGTGTTGGAAAATAATCCAATTATATATGTCCTTGGACCATTTATGTAATTAATTAAGTTCACAAGGTATAATTATTATTAATACCTTAAGGTTTGCCTAAATGGCCAAATAGGTCCCATATTTATGTCTTACATTAATTGATGGGATTAATAGTAATAACAAAGACATGAGGGGCCTAATATGGATTTTCCAAGAGATGTACTTCATACTTCAACATGTGGTATCAGAGCCACGTTAATTCTCAATTTGTTCAATCAATTTCATGTTCCAAGAACCCTAACTTTGTAATTTATTTTATCAGCCCTACATAAGTATGATACGTTATGTTCATTAAACAATCGATTAGAACGATTGGCATGGTAAAATTAAGTTTTTCAAGAACCTAATGTAAGATTTTAAGGAGTATTAAATAATTATACCAGGCCTTGATCGAAAGGATGATTTGATGTCCCGTCGGAATTGGAATTTGAAACCCGTATATTTTTGGGTTAATTTTTAATCATAAAAATATAATGGATTATGTAAACTGTCTTGTTCAACGAATCACAATCATAAGAATTTCTAATCAAAGGTGATGTAAAATGCATGGTTTGGTATGTTTATTAATACCTTAATAAAATCAATCTCAAGGGTTTTGTGCACAACTTTCTTTGCCAAATTTTGGAATTGGTGTTATTATATTGATGCAATTAGAAATTCCGTGAATGTGCATGCAAAAATTAGATATGAAAAGCTCAGTGGTTTCAAAATTTGTTGTTGGTATTTATAAGGCATGATCGTAAATAGAAAACACTTGAGCCATGTGTTTACTTTTCTGTCGTATTGAACATACAATGTCACACTAAATATTTGATGAATTGCTGCTAATTGGTTTAAGCCATCAATTTTGACTGCCCACTAATTTATCTAAAAGACCAATTAAATAAAAGGTCAATTGGTTGTGTGTGTATTGCAATTTGACATGGAAAGGTCAGTGGATGGTTTGTTGAATGAAATTTTAAAGTTGCATAAATGGCAATGTATTTTGAATTTTATTTCACAATCCATGTTAATTAACATGAAGGATTTAAGTACTGAAATCCAAAAATATTAAAAACATCTTTCTTTAATATTGAAATTCATAATTTGGAGTATATGATCAATTTAATATTAAATTCATCCAAAGATCAATTTTAATATGGCAACAGATTCTTTAAGTAGTTTTAATATCTAATTTGAAAATAAGTTTAACGGCATACAAATTAGTAGATAAGTGGTTACCTAACATGTTGATCTTAAGTGGTTAGACCAAAGAAAGTTACTTGAGTTAAACATTTGGGTTTATTAAACACCACATTATGAAATTGTGTGAGTTGTTATCTTATGAACCCAACGGGTAATTAGATAATGACTCATACATATCATTTCATCTCTTTATTCATATTCATGAACATCGGCAAATTCCTCTTTCAGCCCAAAGGAAACACATTCTAGCAGTTTACAAGCCTCCATAGCATCAGCAATGGCTAAACTTAACATTCACAGGATGTCGATGAAGGATATTTCCAACTTCTTCATGTTAAAATGGTCGAGATAGCTACAAAACGTTAAACGAAAGTGGTTTTATTAGAATTTGTTGATTCTTAAATGCTTTGATTAAACCAGAAAATCGTCTTGAATGTAGTGGATGTTGTGTTATTTGTACTTTATTTTTATCACTTTAACAATATTACACATTGATCTCATATTACACATTATCGTCTGATATGTCATAAAGTTCAATTCAGCATGTTACTTATTCTTATAATATATATTTAATAGAATATAACGTCCTTATAAGATTTAACCTAAAAGTACTATATTATGAGAAAAAAACATAGTAACCATAATAATAGTATTTTGAAAATATGTTGGTATTAGTTTAGTTAATTAGCCCTATATATTATTCACATGTCAATAAAACTTTTACAAATTTACTTATATATAACGTCTTGATAGGTAAGACCGCTTTCTAGTTCCATACACTATAAGCATTTATTGATGTCGTTCGGGCTCACTAATGCACCATCTAAATTTCAAGCAACCATTAATGTTATCTTTTGTGCTTTCATGCGAAAATTGTCGTAGTTTTTTTGACGATATTTTTATTTATAGTGAAACTTAATGACAAAGCCAATACTTACTCATTGGTCCTCTCATTTCCCCAAATTGACAAAGCCACATTTACTCATCATTGTGTCTCTTTTCTATTGTCTTCTCATTCATCGATTTCACTTTTAGTAGTTGGATTTGTGAATCGTTCACGTGTGTTTTTTACTTAGTTGATGGTTTTCTGATGTATAGGTAAAACCTAATTTGTGATTAGTTCAAAGTCATTTGGTTGACAATAGAATCTTCGCTTTATGTTCAATTTTTGTTTTTGTTTTTCACACATGGTTATCAATACTTAATAGAATCATTATTCTTGTTGATCAAAGTCCTTTTGGGTTTTAGGTGAGTGGTATGGTTCATATAACTAATTACTAGTTCACCAACTAAAGCATGGATGATCTGCCACTAGGTATAGAACAAGTTAAATTATCTTACCAAACACTAAATTACAATAAGCATAAAATAATAATCTAGTTTATAAGTTAACTTATTCGCTTCAAGTAGAGTCTAAGTAATTTGTTATTTAATAAACAATGACTCAACTTTTCTTTTTCTTTAGTAATTAGAGTAGATATAACGAAAAAGTATCCATACCTAAAATATTCCAAGGAATATATTTTTGCTTAATAGAAAACCAAATATTCCGTCCTATTGTGTGTTGCCAATGGTTTCATAATGGTACAATCTAGTCATGTGTTGCATATTATAGTTATTTCATTTTTAAATTATTATTTTTGAAATAGAAAGTATGAAATTTATAGATCGTAATGTTCAAAAGTATTCGTGCATTGATTCTTGAGCATTGCAATGGTTTCATAATTAACACGGTACATAATATTGCAATGGTTTCATAATTTATGTAATGGTACTAGACTACAAATCATATCATCAGGTAATCGTGTTATAAAAGAAGAAATCTTATATAGCAGTAATATTAGAACTCACACTTTAGTTGTGGTAATTAGAATAACCATGTTAGAGAAATGATGATGTACAATGATTTATGCTAGGAAAAGTTTACTAAATTTTAAAAATTTGATGCAAGGAATGTTAGAAAAATAGGGTAAAACAGAATGGATAATCATTGGATTCTTCGAGGATCGTGTTTGTTCACTTTCCGAATCAGTATTTCTCCCCTATGTCTGGGTTACGAGAAATTTGATCTTGGATAATCCTTATAGGAACAATCAATTTTCTATAATCAAGATTCTAGGCATAGAAAATTGATCAAAAAATGAGAGACAATATGGTGTGTATAAATTTAATATGTTTCAAAGACAAGAGAGACCCAACTTATATCTCTTAGAATTTAAAAATTCAACTGCATTTGTATAAGAAAGTTATTAGTTGATAACCACACGAAGTTACATAAGGAAGTATTGAATTTCAAGGGTCCAAATGTAACTTCGTTTGGTTATCAACTGATAACTTCCTTATCTAAATGAAGTTGAATTATCAAATTATGAGAGATATCACTTGGCTCTCTCTTGCATTTGAAACATACAAAATTCATACACACCATATTCTCTCTCGTTTTTTGATCAAATTTATGTGTCTAGAATCTTGATTGTTCCTTTAAGGATTATCCAAGATCAAATTTCCCGTTACTCAGGCATAGGGGATAAATATTGATTCAGAAAGTGAACCAACATGATCCTTGAAGAATCTAGTGATTATTCATTCTATTGTACCCTATTTTTCTAACAGGGAAGGTGATACAAGACATGGATCAAAGACACTCGGACTCTAGGTTACTAGATATTTTAATTATTTTTGAATGAAAAAATTATAAAAATATTGACATTAGAAAATAGTAAGGTTGGCAAAAATTTTCACAAAGTTGTATATTCACATAAGTTTTCATTCATTTGGATTTAATCGGTTTCCTGTTTGTTATCAAGTATCTTTTTATTTTTTACTTGATCTTTTTATTCTCCTATAAGTAAAGTACATTGGTTTATATTTTTCAGTGTAGATAACTATTATTTGGCTTCAATGGTCAACGGTATAAATAAAACTATGACGGATATTGGGTCCATGTCAAACATGCTTGAAGATCTGGGCACTCCTGTACAACGTATGGAGGCGGAGTTGCAAAATTTTAAACAAAATAAAGATGATGTGGTTGATTTTTATTTAGAGGAGAGACCATCTTCTTTCAACCCAAAGTTACTTATACCCTTTTCCCAGAGAAATTTGATCTTAGGTGGATTTTGTAAGTGGGGAGTAGAAACATGTTTTGAGTATCTTCGTATCCCATAGCTTGAAATAGCACAACTTGTAACCAAGACATTGCTACCCGAGAAGGAGACTTTCTCATGGAGGGAACAAATCCAAAATCTAAGCACGCGAATGGATAAAAATCATCCCATCAAGTGGAAAGAGATGAAGAGGTTGTTTATGGCTCAATTCCTTTCTCCACATTGTTTGCTAGCCAACAAAAAATCCAAAGTTTCTTTTTGATGGATTTAGAATTTACCCAAGGAAATGGAATTGCATGTATTTGGATTTTAAGGATATTAAAATCCTTTTATATATATATATATATATATATATATATATATATATATATATATATATATATATATATATATATATA